AACGTTCCAATGGCCGATTCGTAGACCATTTTCTCCAAGTCCGAGATCAAAATATGAAGAGGAGTAATCGCTTTCGTCGGTTTCGGACAGAAATGAAGTCCTCGTTGTCGATGGACTGTATTCAGCGAACGAAGAAAAACTCCCTTCCAAAGACGATAAATCCAACTGCGTAACATCAATTGGACCAGGGTTACTGGCAACATCATTACAGAGGAGAGTTATTTTTGTGACTGGACGCAATAGTCGCCACTATTGTTATGACGTTTCGTACCAATGTTGATTCGCATCAGAAGAAGCAAAGATTTATTGCAACAATTTCAATAGTTCGAATGCAGTAGTTTGTTCACATCTAATTCTTGCGTATACTGTTCGACTCGCTATAATGAATGCGATAGAATTGGAACGAAATGGCTGTTGTTGTTGTTTTTTTTACCTTCATTGAGAAAATGTTGTGTTGTAATTGAAAAGAACGTCGACAAAAAAGCTTGCAAATAGAATTATTTACCAAATATGATACAAAGGATGCTTAAAAGGAAAGTTTGGTAGGGGGGTCCAAATCTGCGAAGGGGTCCAAATCCGCGGGGGGTCCAAATCCGCTGTGACACCGGCACGCGGCAAAACAAGATCAACTTCATTTCCTGGATCTGAAAACTTGCAACTCCGCAGTGACTTGAAGTGTCTTTTTAACAATCACGCAAGGGAACGACTTGGTCTTCTCGATAACTAAACCCACAAGTTCCACCAGCGAACGATTTAATTAAATAGCAAATCTCCATGTTAGCATGTAAGATGAGACGCTTATAAAACAGATCAGTTAGCTAAATCAGTATGTAACTTGTCAATCAAATTGACCATTGTAATCATACTCTGACTTCAGCCGTTAAAGGAATCATTGATGGATCTGGACATTTTAGTTTTCTGAATGCAGTAATTCCTGAAAGGTTTTTTTAGATGTCATGCAAAGAGGAAAAAAAACCCATCTCTTGGTATTTCGGAGATTGATTCATCTTTAAATTTCTGTGTCACGCTTGTCACGCAACAGATATAATAAGTTAGAGAAGATATATAAACTGGAACCCAAATCTGGCTAGAATGTGGTAGAGCATAATTAACGTGATCATCAAAACAGTTGATAAAATCATAAATAAACAAGGTAAGAGTGTTATGTTAGAGTTTTTTGCAAATTGTAGTGATTTATGCCAGTTAACGGTAGCGACAAGTAGGCGCACCATGTATATTTCATTATCGCTATCAAGTAAATTTTGCCAGACTTTGAGTTCGTCTCAAGATAGGACAACACAAATACACAAGGAAATTTTTACAGTAACTTAATAAACATCCTTTTGTCTTATAAAAGCTTGAAGCTCAGTAGATTGTGTCATATCGGTCATTGTTAAAACTGTCTTTGTTTTGATGCTACTTTTCGACATAGGAAAAGTATGTCGGACAAAAATATTCACCAAAAAATAAATATTTCTTTTCCAGCTTCAATAACGACAGGGGATTAAGTTTAGATGATAAAACAAAGGATTATGTTAACAAAATTACCGTAGGTCTAATACATTCGTTACATGAGGTCACATAACTCGTGTAATATTCACGGTGAAAATTTGCATATTTGAGCGGTCGAACGAAAAAAATTATTTCTTGAAAACTAAAATAAATTTTTACAAAAAAACTACACCACAATTATTAGAACATATTGGGCTACAAAATATGAAAGAGGAAGGAAAATAAATTTGGGTGACTAGCCGCTGTTTGTTTGATGCATGCTGACATTAGCTCTTAAGTTATTTCTTTCATATTTCTTATAACGCAGACTTTATTTCATTTTTTCATTTATAGCCTTTTGTTTATGAATATTACTTTTGATGGGACTTTTTCTTTTTTGGGCAAGATGCAGACCTAAAAAAAAAGAATGCTTTGTCAACATGCGATTATAGATTCGACTGCCGGTAAACTCTCCCGAAAACAAGCCCACTGAAATCATGCTTTTATTGGTAAATTGATCTTGTCTCCTTTGGTTTTAGACATAAAAGGTGCGTTAGATACAAACAATAACAAATCCTCATAAAGACATGCCCACTTATTTTACTAGGCAAGTGAGTGCATCTAATTTAGCGACAAGGTTATATCTGTAATACGGGCGGTAATACGGGAACTTGAACAACAAAATTCAGTGTATTTGCTTTTTTTCGGCTTATCTGGCAACAATGTGGAGAACCGTTTTCCTTTTTTTTTTTTTTATCTCGGGTTGTAACAAAATTTGCACATTTACATTGATGGACGCTACAACAGTTTAAAGGTACTGCTCTTATTCTTTATTCATTCTAAACCGGAATAAACGAATTAATGGTTATCATAAAAAGGATTCAATACGATGCATAATACTATTTTACCTTGTGTAAATGGAGAAAACACTGAGAAAAAACTGAACATGAAAAAAGCAATGCAAAACCAACCGTAACAATAATCAACAAAAAATGTCATTTACATAAAATTACGGCTGCACTATTCAATGGCAGCTCTTGGGAATTTATGGTTTTAAAGAGTTGCTTTAGAGGCACAACATGGAAACAGAAGCTAATTAGTAACTATCTTTCACTATATTTTCAAGTCACAGCTTGGAAAAAGTTAGTCTAAAATTGACGGGCTCAAAAAGAAAACAGTGCTACTGTATACCAATTTATGTGATGAGACTTGGTTAGGAAACTTTCTTGTGTAAATTAACTGAACGCTGGGTGCTAATGTCTGTTCCGAGTTCGTGTTCAAGCAAAGGTGCGTTAAACAATGTCAAGTTTCGCGTCTATCAGTAACAAACCACGCCTGAGTCTTCGCCGTGATGGCAGTGGTTAAATCCTTCCTGGGTGAATGGACACTCGAATAACGAGCTCTCTGATCCAACGCAGTTCATGTGATCTCTCCATATAGGACCTGATCCCTGACCATGTGCTGCACTAGTGCTTGCAGAGGAAGCTCCAGTGAAGCCAAGCTGCTTACAAGCCACATTTGCATCATTTATATCCCATGTATCATCGCAAATTGTTCCCCAGAGCCCACCGTCAAACACTTCAACACGACCGTAGCTCGCTCCACCATCCGCCAAACGAATTGGAAGAGAGTCATGCGAACAAGTTACACTGGCATCTTGACTATGAGTGCAGTTTTCATGGTTACCCCAACCACTGTGTCCACAACTGGAAATTGACGACTCATTTCCAAAGCAATTCAACGCATTTATCCATACTGGACCGGTTCCTTGGCCATGACTGGCGCCGCTAAAGACTTGGGAAACCCTGTCGAAGCCAAGTTGCTTACAGGCCACTCGGCCAGCGTCGATGTTCCACCCATTGTCACAAATTGTGCCCCAGTGATCATTAAAAAAGACCTCTATCCTTCCAGTGTATGGATTATTACCAGCTATACGCAATGCACCATCTGTCAAAACTTTGAGAGAAAAGAGGACTCGATATCAACTGATTTATGATTTGATTGAAATGTTCATCAATTATTCAATTGCTCGATCTAGGATCTGTTGAAAATTATCTGGGACTGCGTTGGATTGCATCCAAGTCTTTATCTTCCAAGAATTTTAAGAATAAATGAAAAAAGAAAGACTTTAATAGGTCGAGGACGTTATTAAGAGGAAGTGCTTAAGACTATAAGGGAGAATTCTTTCCTTGCAAACAGTTATGGGAGAAACCGGAAGTCTCAAACTGAAGAAACCCAATGGCTGAAGGGGAAACTGCCTGAAGTTCAATACATATGAACACCATCATGAGTGTTCCTTGCCCACTTTTCCTCTACAAAACGTTCATAATAAGATGTCAAAAGTCATCATAGTAATTTTCTCTTAGTTTTTCGGACAATTTTAAAAATCAAAAAGGAAAATCATTTGTTTTCATTTGGAAGTATTTTGAAATGTTATGTCTACTGATTTTCTTATGATTTACGAAACATGCATTAATATAAGTAGGCATCATACCTCGGAAACGTGCGCGAAATCCAGATTTAGTTACTGAATGATCGGTTGTAAACCGAAGGAAAAGTTTGCTGGACGAACTTGTTACTGGGGAAGGAAGAGATGATCCATTAAATCCACCAATCAGAGGGGCAGAGGATGATTCACCGTTATAAACTTGCACAACATCGTGCACATATTCCGTTTCGAAAATCATAAAGACAAGTTCTATTCTTGTATTTGAAGACACAATCCAATGGCAGTCCAAATTGTTTTGGTACTTTGTACCAGTCTGATTCGACTCGATGATAACATCCCCATTATGGAGTTGCCAGACAGGTAATTTGTCACAGGAGCGAACGACTTCCACTTTAGGGACTGTCATAGAAATATGAATTTAAATAGTAGTTGTTATAAGAACATAATTTGTTGCATTAGCGGTGTACAAACCCAAATCTATTGTCTCTTTGATCCAAGTTATGCTTGCGATTTAGTGGCAAAAGATATATTCAGGGGCCTTCAATTAGTATCTATTTCCTGTAATGAGCTTATCTTGTTTAGTTTTGTGCTTGTTTGAAAAATGTCAGTTGGCCAAAACAAAGATAATAAAGGGCAAGAGAGTTATTGAGTCCTCGTTCTATATTCATTTATTTATTTATTTATTCACTTTAAATATACAAATCATCAGCAAAAATAATAACAAGAATACCACTAACAATATATTTCTAAATGTACAATGATACGCTGCATATTAGGCCAGTTCTATAGATTATCAGTAGTTTAGTAAGTTTGAATAAGCCGTACATCCCTGCTATGGCCCTTCATACAATGTTTACCCCCACGTCAAGCTGTAATTTTTACAGCGGGAAGGAAAATCCTTTGAGCAAGAAGAGAGTCACAAAAAGCCTAAACCAAGCGTGAGCAGGCACTAATACTGCCTTTGAACCTCAACGATGCGTGGAAACTTTGGTTATAGACAGCCCAACGTAACTTACCTATTTCACATTGGAGCCCATCAAAACCTTTCGGACATGCGCACTTGAAGCCACCAATATGATCAGAGCAGGTTCCATTGTTACGGCAAGGACGGTTCGCGCAGTCATCAATATCTATTTGAACCAAAAAAGGTATCTTTTACAACAATTGGAATTGATGTCGCAATATGATTCGCCAATTTGCCGTTGTTGATAAGAATAGGGACAACACCGCTTGAGTCAACGTGTCACGCAATGATCAAGCACTGTTAGAGTCGTTTTATTAATTGTTGTGACGAATATCGTGTCGATCATATCCCAGCGACGCTAAACCACTGTCGATTAAGTTTTGGTGCACATTAGAGAATCCACCGGCTTAGCGATATTACGGCTAGCGTATTTTCAGAGCTACTAAGTCCTTGCCATTCCATGGTGATAATTTTTGTTTTGTATTGAGCGAGCACAAAAGGGGCAACTCGGCTGCTTGATAAAGTAGCTTTTAAACAGTCAGAAATATTTTGCAAACTGATTATTTAAAATGAAGTAAAGGCAAGCATTATTGATTTTGATACACTCAGTTATTCTTAAAAATAAAGGCTTGATTTTTTGTTTATTCTTGTTGTTGTTGATGTTTTTCACCTTTTGGACTTATAAAACAAGGTCACTTAATGCCGTTCCCCTCTAGAATAAAGCAAGTTTGTTTTATTTTTGCTCTCGTGCCAATGAATTTCTAGCTCGAATGTATCTCTTCTAGCAACATTGAAAATCGTTACTCATCGTTAGGAGCAATGGACACTTAAGCACAAGATTTGTACATATAGTAGTTCCGCGTTTCCTGTGTATTGTCCCATGCTTAATACGTGCATCTGCTTGGCTTCAGTCTGTTGAGCGAGGCAGGCCGTTTTTCTGTATCTCGAAAACTTTCACGTTTCTCAATATTTTGTTTCAATATTTTACATTTTGTTTTCGAAGTAGTCCTAAGTTTTCGGTTTTATCTTCTCTAAAAGCTATAATTTTCCTCTATATTTCTAATTGATGTCAACCTTTAAGTCGTGTCACAGTGACTGAAAATTTCATGGCATACTCTTTTTTTCATTGATTCAGGAAGCGTGAATATTTAAAACGTATGACAAGTTTTAACTTGGAAGATTGTCTGTCTTTTTTTGTTTTGTTTTTTTTTAAATTAAAGATGCCAAGGGAAAATAAACATTTGTATTTCCTGCATATAGTTGGTAATGCGAATGGCCCTTGATACATTTGAAACCTTTGGCTTCCGTTATAACCTCATTTCCCTGCATTTTGTACTGGCAGCTCCGATTTTCGCTTGTGTACAAACTGAATTAGGTGTTCGAATAATTCTTAGAGAGGGCTCTAGTATGATGTCAGGGCGATGTCATGTACCATTAGATGCTAGAAAGTTAAAGAAAAAACTTTGAAAGAAGGAATGATGAATGATGATTACAAATCGTTGCCTACCTGCTTCGCAGTTACTTCCTGTGTATCCTTCTGTGCAAACACACACGTAACTGTTGCTCACGTAATTTGAACGGCAGGTGCCTTTGTTTTGACAGGGCTTGTTTAAGCACGGAGACTAAAGACAAAAAAATTAGGAAAGCGAAGAAGCTCTAGATGGTAGCGCATGCTACCTTGACATACGATAAGATTCAAAATAGTTAACGGTTATTAACCAAAGCTGAGGTGACTAGTGGTGGATATTTACTGAGCCGCGAAGCGGCGTGGCAAATATTCACACTTTCATCAACACTGAGGTGAATAATTGTTTTATCATATATCACACAGTAAATAAAAAATTATTTTTTTCTCTCAATGTAAAGAAACATGGTCGGAAATTTAACCCTTGATGCACGATTTTGTATATTGTGCTGGTCGTAGGAGAAAAATCATTGCAAATTACGTTACGTCCGGACTAGGCCATCAGCGCGCTCGAAAAGTGCTTTTCACTTGCATGGTACATGCTATCTCGGAATTTTCTCTCGATAAATCCCGTTTTAGTCAGGAAGATTCTTTTTTTTTTTAATTAAAGCTCAGGTTCTTCAAAATTTATTGTATTGGTCGTGAAATTTAGCTGCCTCATACACGTTGGTCACGAATGTAATTCTCAAAGATTGCCGCTGCTTTTTATGAAGTAGTCTGTGATAAGATAGCCAAGAAATATCACCGTTTAATAACCAACTTGTTCATAACTGATCCGTTTAAAACCAGGTTATTTTGCTCTCATTCGTCACATTATATAAAATTAGAAAACTCCAAAACAAACGCCGTAAAGGAGGTTCAAGAGTTATCACAACACAACGATTCCCAATTTACCCATTTGCCCCAATTGATTAAGTCAGGAAAAAAAGGTAGAGTCAAGCAAAAAAATAAAACAAAGCATATCAAAGCATCAGAGAAAGCTAACCACCACTTTCTTAGCCAGCTGGATGTTTGCTAATACAGTATAAGAGTCTTGGTGCTAAAACCTGATCACATGTTGCACAAACGTTTTACGCTGACTTCGACGTTTTGTTTCCATATTCCCTATAGGTAATTACTGAGCAAACACGACTTAAACTTCCTACATCTTTAAGAAAACCATCATCGATTCTCTAAAAATGTATGAAATATAAATTCTTACCCAGATGCTGAAATGATGAAAAAGACGATTGGCAACCAGTTTGTCCGAGTTGTTGTAGATGTCCGAGGGAAGCAGTACACATAGGATTTTACTGTTCATATCAACAACGGCAGCCAGGTTGAAGGAAAAGCACGAGGGTGTGTTGATACAGGTAAGTCCACAATCTCTACTGCTGTGGACATAATCTGCTCCAAGTGCTGTTATGTTCAGGTAGGACAGTTTGTGCGCTTTAAATCTGGCGAAAGCGACACCAGTGTGAGCATTTCTCTCTATGCCTTTACCAAGTGCGTCAATAGTCTTTGGTTGACCTATTTGTGATGATCGACAGAAAAAGTGCAAAATTAGAACAGTCTTGGCAATTAACAATTGTTTCATGCGCCAGCAGGCGGTTATTGAGACGCGAGAGATTTGGAGAGCTCAAAAGATGTGCAAGAGTTCCTCAAGGTGAAGACAAATGCAACTCTTGGTTCTTGAATGTTTTCTTAACTTTCCAAAGTGTTTCATAACCCGACTAACGCACACCTGAAGTATGACACAATTGTTTTGTTGCATGATTTCTGAGGAGAAATTTCCTCCACTAACCTTTAATGGCGTGCAAAATTGGGTTATGCAGCACCTTCGAGCTATTGAAAAATCTATTATCTATGTTATGAACTAAATAAGAACACAGAATCGACCTTAAATCATGATTCAGTTGAGGAGGATGTGTGAAATAAAAACAAAAAAGTTTTTACCTTTCGTTTTTGTTGGAAAGAACGTCAAGGCCAGAATGCTTATGATGTTCAGAACGACGAGGTCCATTGCGATACGCTCTTCGAGAACTTTCATTCAAAGAAGCACGCCTATGGTAATAACATAATGCCTCGTGTTTACACCGATTTGCTGTAAATACATAAATTTATTAAGTGGCAGCTGACAAATTTATACCTTTCTCTTCATGAATTATTTACTGAACTTCTGCAGGAGTTAATTGTCAGAAATACATCAGGGGTAACATCGTCTCTACGAAATCTTGCTGAGGGAACATGAATCATTATTGATGCAAGCAAGATATTTTCAACAGTTGATATTCTTTTTATGCAAGCCAATATGGCAGCGATCTGGAGTGATCAGTTTTGTCATGCCTACCTTTCAAACAGTTTTGAATTAGTAATTTTTATTTAGCATTTTAGTTTGGCCTCGTCTTTTGTTTTTCTTCTAACTATTAGTAGGCAAATAGAAGTCAATTCCATTACTGTATTTCCCACTTTTTCTCTTTCATGAAGGCGGCACTCAGGTATTCTGTTCTTCCATTATATTTTTTTCCTTGGACTTACCCATATTCCTTCCTAATCAGAAACAACAGACTGAATATTTTTATTCAGTTGTGCGTGCTGGGAAATTAACAGTTGTAAATCATTTATCTATAGCATTTCAAGCACGTATCAAGATAATTAAATTCGTGGGAGCCTAATTGAAACACTCGTTGAGTGACAGCTTTGGCACATAACGTTATGACTGCAAATTAAAGCTTATTACACCTTGCACAAAGCTTAGGTTAAGGATAACTTACTCACGATGAAGAAGAAAATTCGACGTAATGTTTGAGAGCCATCCAAAATTCAAATTGTTAGAGCAGATAAAGTTATTCATCTTTAAATGTGTAAATGAAGATTCCAGATAAATGGATCTCGATGGGGCGATGGCTTTTACAGCTAACGTAACTTTGCGGTTAAAAATAATCTACGTATAGTGGTTAAAATTTGTCAGTTCGTTTGCTTAATGGCTAAATTTTTTGATGTTTAGTAACGGAAATGGATAATTTGACGAAGTTTCGTCAAACCGTATGAATGTTCATGGATTTTGGTAAATTTTTAGTCAAATTTGTCAAGGCGAAATCAGCTTGGGGGATTTGACGATTTTGACGAATTTTCGCCATTTTCGTTACTGCATGCATTTCTGGAAATATCTCATCAAGACCCTCAGTTATTTATATGATATTTCTGATGTGCTTTACCAAAAACCATCCGTGGTAGCAAACTGGAGGAATAACACCTGAATTACACCCTAAGATAACGCATTAAACGAAAAAGATATTCAGTGGTTTAAAAATTGCTTGTAAGTTGTGCATATAACAAATTAACTATTCGAATGATTCATAGTATGGGAGCAGGTGTGTTTTTTTCTCTCACTGTGTCGATATTGTGCGGACCTATTTTATTGTTGCTAAGTAACACTAGAACATGCGCAGAGCGAAGACAACCATGTGCTTAGCTAAATGGCTGACATTTTACATCTCGGTTTGTTGTTGTTTTAAAATAAACTTAGTTGAGATTTCAAGACACTCACCATTTTAGATTAAGGTTACTTAGGTCAAATTATCTCTGAACATTCCTTTATCCCTGTCGTTTCACGTCTTCGGCTAAAAAATGAAGATGTCGAAAGGTTTTACTTTCAAAGTATAGTAAGTAACAAATTTGCGATGAAAGGGCTAAAAAAAGAACCAAACACCGCTGAGAAAACCAGGAAGATTCATCTAAAATCATAATTCCTTAAACCAGTCTTCCCACTCTGACAGAGACCTCTCCTCATTTTAACATGACAACCCTTACCAGTGCTATCTTCATTCTGAAATGCTGGTCTGTTACTAGTAGATCGAAGGCTCAACCAGCAAAATGGACCTAGTCGACCTGGTAACTAATTAAACACGTGCGTAACATTCAAGATGGCGCTGTCGGAGACAGTGAGAGCGAGGAAAGTGTTTGTTCATCCTGTAGTGTTATTTTCGATCGTGGATGGCTTCGAAAGACGTTCGGAAGACGCAAAAAGAGTCATAGGAACACTTCTTGGAACTATTGACAAGTCTTCAGTCGAGATTCGAAGCTCTTTTGGCGTTCCACACAATGAATCCGAAGACGAAGTAAGCCTTCAGACAACTTAATTGCCTTGTTTTGTGCTGTTCCCTTTTTTTTAATTTCACAATCTATCTCCTGTACATTCTTCTGATGGATAGGTACGCTGCGAGGTATCTGTCATTAAGATCTGTTTTATGTTAAATTGATTTGAATTTAGGCGATCACACATGTAAATAAATTAAACTTTAGCCCTATTTTCATGACAGCATTTATGTTGCCGGCGAATTTTCTCTAAGTTTCCGGCTTAAATTTACTCCAGTTTGAGTAATTTTAGCATATTTATTCGATGTGTAAGGGTGGCAGTAAAATGATAAATTTTCATCCAAATCAATATGTCAGTTCAGATGTTATTTGCAAAACGCTTAATTTTCAAGGAAAAAGCACTGTATCATTGCATTACAGGACGATTACACTAAATAATTGTATTATATATACCGTATCGTGATTACATTTCTGTGGGTATGTCGGCTGTTCCATATATTCCTTGTTTTCCCTCTTTTTACACTTCCTTTTGAAAGACCTAATTCATCTTATTTCTGTGCATTCTCTCTTTAGATTACTGGTAATTTTAGCACTGAGTAGTTGGTTTTAAATCAAACAGTATTCCTTGTTCGATCATTTTCTCTTGTCACCTTTATGCTTAAAAGTGTTTTAATGTTATGAGAATACCTTTGGTGAGCTCTGGGGGCAATGAAATTTTGAGCTAACATTTTGAGCATTAGCTCTTTCTTCAGAGGGAATGTTGACCTTCCAAGTGTTAGCTCTTCACCCAAAGGCTAACACTCAAAACGTCAGCTTTGAAACTCTTTACAGCGGCCAATTTATGTTATCAACTTAGTTGATAATGCTAAATTACCCTTTTATACTCTCCCATTGATGCAAGCACCACAGTTTCTTCAGAAACTTACTCCCTTCTATTCAGTGAAATTTAGAGGCTAGTTTGAAGATGGGTGAATTCATTAATAATATTTATTGAGCCTGATGTGTTGAAACATCTCTGAAGTTGTGGTTACAGACCTACTCATTGTTTTTCAAACACATGTATCCTCTCATTCCACCCAGGAGTGTAAATAGGTACTAGAGGGACATTGGGAATTTTGGTTTTGCAGTTTAGGTTATTTTGTAGATATGTTTTTGTTTTTGGCCAAAAAACTTTGGTTTTCTGTTTTTGGTGTCTGTTATGGTTTGTAGCTTTTCTGTTTTTTAGCATTTGTTCTTCTGTTTTTGTCAAAAATACAATCAGGTTTTTGGGATTTGGTAACCAATGTGGTTCTCAGTTTTTCCTATTTGGGTTTCAGTTTTTCTTCCATCTAAGGGGCAATTATGTGCCTCAAGTGATCGTGAATAGCCATAAAATGCAAATGTTATCAAGAAGAATGTGTGACAAACCAAATGTCACCAAATAACTTCTTGTAGGTGAAATATCATGGTGATAGATACAACAGTATCTCCCCCACCCCCCACCCTTTTATGAATTACCAATGAGGAGGGAGAGAGGGTAACCTGTATGGATCTGCATGATAATCCATGTTGCTCCATGTTATAGATAGGGAAATAAGCTTCTGCAAAATAGACTGCTAAACTTAAATGCTGACTTAACCTTCTTATTGATTTGATGAAATGGATTTAGGATCTGTGACTCTTACTTTATTTCAGGTCGCCATTGAACTAGAGTATGCTAAAAGTATGTTTGATCTACACAAAAAATCACACCCAAATGATGAAATTGTAGGCTGGTGAGTACATGTGCTGCTTATGATATCCTCTAGATTATTCACGTGGTGTCACAGATTGGAGAATTCTCCACTTGATTGTAGAATTCGTAGGCTAAATGTCAATCACTTGAGGTTTTTTTCTTAACTTGAAAAGTTTTTTCTTTCTTTTCCTGTTGATTAACAATTTTTACTTTTACTTTTTTTTTAACAATTCGAACATGTTCTATAGTTTTTGAAGTTGATTACAAAATGTATGGTGAGTTAGGGTGTGGTTTGAGAGAAATTTTGGTCAAAATGTATCTTGCAGTAGACATAGAACTTCTTGCCAAGGACATTAAAAAAGATACACTGTGGTTAATGCAAAATTCTGGAAACATTGACATCTACAAGTATCATGAAAAAGCATGACAGCCTGCTGTAACCACAGTGGATCTATGAGGAAACAATATTACTTGTCTGAATAATGATGTCAACAACACAACAAGGGAATCCTAAATTAGACTACATTGACTATTACATAATTACATAAAAAGCATTATCGTTTATGGTTAAATTTGAAAGAGGGAAGATGACTGTAAGTGGAAGAATTAGATGTAGAGAGGATTTTTATAGCTAAAGAGATTTTTCTTTAGGAAAGATCTCAGTTATGTCAAATGAACATGCAAAATGCAGCAATAGAAGCTGGCCATCTAGCTGCACAAATGTGATATATACATTTATATAATTATTCAACCTCATAACCTGGCAAAGATTGGCAGTGTTAACCCTTTTACTCCCAAGATCTCATTAGTAATTCTCCTTACTGTCTGCCATACAGTTCTTGTGATGTTAATTTTGAGAGTTTGGTATTGGATCAATTAACAATCCTATTACTCTCTTACAATCTTCTTACTCTCATCACTTGTCTGCTTGATACTATATTGATACTGAAAGGAAAAACTCTGTCTTGGTCACTTAGAGGAGTTAAACGGTTAAAGGCAGTTGAAATGTTACAAATTTCAATCTATAGCAGGGCGTGAAATTGCACCTAATACAGGCACCAATGCAACTAAATTTTTCACTTTGGCGACCAAATCCTGAAAGTTAGTCGGCAAATTGGCAACTAAAACGTTTCACCATAACCTTATCAATTTATAGTGAATTAAAAAAATTGCATAGATAAATCTGCGGCAAACTTCCTCATTAAGTTTGTTTCCAAGATGTAGCACATGCATCTGGATCGATAACTAGACGCCATCTTGGATTTAGATGAGCCTGAACGTTGTATATCATCCATCCTAGTGTCCACTTTGTAGCACGTTAAAGATCTTTTCCCTAACTTAACTTTGGAGGTCTATCTAGAACGCTGACAGCGTAAAGAAAGATTTTGTTTGTCTTTGAAAATGGCGACCAACTTTTTTTGAATTGGCTACCACTTTGAAGAATTTAGGAGCCAAGTGGCTATCAGAAAAAAAAGTTAATTTCACGCCCTGTATAGTTTCACTAAGCAAATCAATAGTGACTCTAAGGGGCAAGACTAATGATATAACTTTCTTTAACAGATATAACAATTATGGATGAAGAGATTTCTTGCAATGCTTCATTTAAAATTTGTGTTTTGGATTGTTTCTAGGTATGCTACAGGCTCAGATGTCACAGAGCATTCTTTGCTCATTCATGAATACTATTCACGAGAGGCAACCAATCCAGTGCATGTTACAGTGGACACTACACTTAAAGGTTCTCGCATGGGAATAAGAGCTTATCAGAGGTGAGTCACTTTCAATAATACTCATGCCAGGTCTGTTTACCTTTGTATCAGTGTCTTGGGAATTTGCTTCTGATTACTCTGGTTATATCAACATTGGTAATAAGTCTAATTGTGATTATGGAAAATAATATTATGCTCGCAAAACTTGTTCTCTAGGCCTGTTTAAAATGGTGAAAATAGACATACTTTCAGTTTGGGATGGTGTGAGGTGTCTTATTTATTTATTTTGTATATTTCTGCTTGATAATAGGTAATAGATTATTAGGAAAAATAGTATGAGCTTGGAATTTCAATTGAGCTCACATTTATTATTACTTAAAACTTTCAAAGTATAACCTGAATCATGAAAAACATTTGCATTTATGCAATTTCCCATATGTATGCTTTAATCATAATGATGACAATGATGAAAGCATCACAAAGATAATACTTTTTGGCCAGCAAAGCACAGTGTGGTCACTGGTCTGGCTGGTCTGATCAGACTTACCATAATTAGCCATACACATTTTTTTAAGTGCCCATATTTGATCTGAATATCTTTGTACAGCTGTAAGATGGGAGTTCCTGGAAAGACAGAGGGAACCATTTTCTCACCCATCCCTTGTGAGGTTATACTTACTGGGCCTGAGAGAGTGGGAGGTAAGATTTTGCAAACTTCATGTAAAGTAGTTACACGTATCCATAATCCAAACAAACATTAATTGATGATTGTAAATAGACTAAGACAGATGGTAAGTTTTGAGCTTGGTAAAAATGACACAGTCCTATCATTGCTTATCCTAGCAGTGTGCAGGATTCACATCATATGAAGTTTGTAATAAACCTAGCTCGCTGTAGAGTCTCTGTGGCTCAGTGGTAGAGCATCAGAGCATGGAATCCAAATGTCTGAGGTTCAATTCCTCATGGGAACTCAGAATTTTTTCTTCGTCTCACACTCATGATAAGACTAAAAATCATCTTTCTCTACTATTTAATGATATTTGCTTGAAAAAATATTGAACAAGAAGTTTCAGGAGCTGTTAAGGATCTTGGAAACTGATGTCAATTGTTTACAGGGCATGAAATTAATTTTTTTTTTTAAATAGCCACTTGGCTCCTAAATTCAAAGTGGGAGCCAATTCAAAAAAAGTTGGTCACCATCTTCAAAGACAAACAAAACCTTTTTTATGCTGTCAACATTCTAGAAAGACCCTTCAAAATTAAGTTAGGGAAGAGATCTTTAACATGCTGCAAAGTGGACACTAGGATGGAAGATATACAATGTTCAGGCTCACCTAGATCCAAGATGGCCTCTATGTATCAATTGAGATGCAAAAATTTAGTCACATTGGCACCTGTATTAGGCGCAATTTCACACCCTGGTTTATTACCAGGGCCTTATAAAAATACTTTGGCCTATGCTCAATTCTGAATGCACTTTAAACAGTCATTATATTTTCCATAATGATAACAAGATTAGGTTAATCATTGACAGCCAAGTAAGCAATGTACAGTGTAAAGCTGTACTGTAAATGTGTTTTATTATCGTCATCATGGTCATATACATTGTAGCAATGATGTTGATGACAATGATGACAATTGTGTGGAATTTAACCAAGATACTGTATGATTGTCAATTCTCCCCTCTAGCTGCTACACATTTTCTTGTAAATCAGTTAGGAGAATTTGATGTTAGATCAGGACAACAACCTCTACGAGATGTTTTAGTATTTTTATTACCTGTTTGCTGGATAATGTAAGAATCATTACAGGGAGAAGTTTCATGTTAATCCTTTAACTCCCATGAGTGACCAAGACAGAGTTTCTCCTTACAATGTCTATACAATATCAACCAGATAAGTGATGAGAATAAAGAAAAAGATCAATTTGGGGATAATTCATTGATCCAATACTTATTAATTCTCTGAACTAACATCATAAGAATTGTATGGTTGACAGCAGGGAGAATTACAAATTTGATCTGGAAGTGAAAGGGTTAATCACTTCTGGGAGTTAAAGGGTTATTAATTAAACTTTCCTTTTGTATTTAAATTTGCAGTGAACTGGCTCCAGAGAACAAAAAATGCAGCCAAACAGAGTATTAGTCCACTAACAGACATGCAACATGTTAACAGGTCAGTGGAACAGTCAGTAATCCTAAGGATACTGTGTACTGTGCTTCTTCAATGTTATTTTAATAGTCTGTATTATATAATTTGTGGTAAATATAAATTTCCATGGCATGAGGATCACTCATACTTCACATTCGCCCTCTTAGATTGTGATTGTTTCGATGTGGGTCTCTCGCACAAAACTTACCCACAAATCTGTTATGAAATAGGTTGTGGTTTGTTATTGGGATGAAAAGCACTTTCAAAAGAGAATTATAATTGTTTGTTTCACATTGTGGTCATTGCAGATGACCAATCTGGTCTGGAAATAAGCCATGACTCCCATCTTAAGTCTTTGTTACCTAGTGTGCTTAATTTAGTTTAAGCCTTGATTGTCTCAATTTAATATACATTTAGTCAAAATCAATGTTTTTTCCTTTGAAAGATTGGTTGCTTTTGTGTAAGTGATCCTAGTAATGGTATGGACTCTGTAACAAATATGTGTTACTTTACAAAAGCGCATCTTTCACAGTATCTAAAGCAGTGCTGTCTGTCTCAGAAGCCTTGAGAAATGCCCTTGTAGTTACCAGGAGCTTTACCAACCCTCTTAGACACCTTTCCACGATGCTCAGGCTTTACATTCCCAATAATACACATGAAAAAATTATTTGGGTCTGATTGGCTGAAAAGGAGTGCATTTTTTATATAGCACAAGTGCAAAGTTGTAATGCACGATGCTCAGGCTTTACATTCTCAATAATACACATGAAAAAATTATGTGGGTCTGATTGGCTGAAAACGAGTGCATTTTTTATATAGCACAAATGCAAAGTTGTAACGCAAATTAAAAATAGCACACATTCTGCAAAATTTTTTTCGTCTTGACTTTCTGTAATGTGTTTTTCATGCAAATTATTAACAAGTGAATGTTGTGAATTTTTCAAAGACTATGAATTGTACTTGCTCTTTGGGCTTGTTCAATATTTTTGTCCTTGAAAATTTAATTGTGCTTGTTAACATTACATTTTTGTTGTTACCTATACTTACAGGGTTAAGTAACTGGCAGAGTAGGAAGTTCCTCCTTTCTCTCCCCACCCACCACTCCCAAAAAAAAAGGAAGGAAGAAATGCATTTAACTGTATTTTACAATATCCCTTCTTACTTTCAGTCATTTATTTCCAATAAATGGGACTTTTTTCAGAATAATATTGTACCATATCCCTTTCCATGGCACTCTCTCTAGGGGGTTAAGTTGACTATAATGCAATTTTCAGTGTTTGAGTTATCAATATTCTGTTTTTCTAGTGCTAGTGAAAGGCTTTTAGAAATGCTTGGTACCGTGGTGGCATATGTGGATGATGTTTTGGTGAGTCTTTTTGAGTTTTTGTTGTTGTGATGATATCAGTGAGGCCTTAGCGACATTTTCGCTTTTTCGACTCCAAGCAAAATACCGTTACAAGTCTGAAGAAATCACATGAAAATTCATTCTTGTTTGTCCCACAACGTATTTTTCGTCAACTGCATTCCTGGGCCCAGGTTTTGTTTGGATGATTAGCACTAACCCAGGGTCCAATTTTAATTTGGGTTTCTCTATTCCTTTGTTCAAAAGCCCTTCTCGGTTAATTCTCTATTATTTGAAGGGCATCCAATCATTAAATTATTGCCGAAAATAATTCTCTTTTAAAGCTTTCAGATCTTAAATCAGATTTCACACTAATCCTGGGTTATCTTAACCTAGCTTTGAACAACCTGGCCCAGCCAACGGAAATATCTCTATGCCAATTTTATGCTAGGCAACATAGGGACTGTATCCCCAATTTTTATTAAGGGGGCCTACTGCACCCCCCCCCCCCCCCGCCTTCCCCCCTTCCTTCCCTAATTTTTATTAAGGGGGCCTACTGCAACCCCCCTCCCTCCCTTATCCCTAGCCTCTACCGATGGAAAAAAGACCACACCTAGAGAGAGTTAAAAATCTATTTTGCTTTCGAAATGTTGGTTTTGGGCAGCGTTGTCGCCATTAGAAAGTTGTGCTTTCACAGCAAAGTAACACGTGCGCTTTTTTTTCTTTTTTCGGAAAAGGCTGGAAAAGTCGCGGGTAATAACAGTGTAGGCAGAGAGCTAATGGATCTCGTTACTTCAGTTCCTCGAATGTCAAAGGAAGACTTTGAATCTATCCTGAACAGTAACATGCAGGTAATGATATATTTACTTTACAGTGCCTGTGGATGTATCATGTATGTGACCAAAGCAATGAAAAGGGTCTTCTTAAGGCTGTTCCTTAACCGCCAGAGTGACTAGAATTTAATTTCTCCACACCAATATTACCCCTGAATCACACATTAAGGTTGTGAAAATAAAGGAACTTATCACCTACTAAAGAAGGTCTTGATTTTTCAACAAATTCTCCTTGTCAGCAGCTTTAAGGAAACGTAAAGAGAACAGTATAGAGAATAGGCACACTGATGTTAAGGTGTAATGAATTAAGCGGTGCTCCAGATTTGTACTGTAATAGCTACACTGCGCTAAATTTCATGTGAGCTTGCAATCAGAATGTTCATCCTCTATGGAACTGCGGCGTCCATGCTCATTACGCTTCGGTCGGTCTCTAGCATTGTTCTGACTTACAGGATGCAATCTCATTTCCCAACCAGCCAACGCAAACATTAGCCCCTTTATATACTATTTTGCTTGTATTTTTCCTCTTTAACTGTACTTGTTAAACAAGACTGTTCGTACAGTATACCAGTTTGCAAGACCTCAAAGATGTACAAGCAACATTTAAATTATTAATTTTCAGCATCCTGTTCTATTCAATTTTGACCTTCTTTTTTTGTCATTCTTACTGCAGGACTTGCTGATGATTGTGTACCTGTCAGGCCTTTGCAAGGCTCAGATCTCGCTTGGAGAGAAACTGGCCACTGTTATATAGTATTTCGGATTTTAGTACGCAAATAAATTATAGAATTAACCCTCCTCCTGTGATGTTTGCTTTTTGGGATTCCTCAGTGGTTATGCTTCGGAAATTCAATGGAGTTAACAGGTTTTTTTTATAGGTTCCCACACAAGCAGGCATGGGAACGTATTTACTTCCAAGTCAAGACAAAGCTATAGTAATTTTGACGCGCGATATTAGCTGCCGCCTTTGATTTTTAGAGCAGTGGGAGGCTAGGGAGAGAAAGAAATATATACTAAGGGGGGTGCTTAAAAGGAAGGAGAGGTACGGGGAATGGGGCCTCTCCCTTCGTCTGTTCCTGCCCGCTGCCCCCTACCCCACTTACCCCCACCGTCTACTCAAATTATAGATCAAATATGGCCGGTCGAACAAACGATCGCAAGATTAAAATAGAGTCAACACGCTCTTATAAGACGCCGGCACTGCAGGATATGCACTATTTCAGGAGATAATTTAATGCTAACAACTGAGTTGAAAACGTAAATTGGCTACCGTAAAGAGTAAAAAAGCTGACGTTTGGAGCGTTAGCCCTTCGCCAGAGCGATTCAGGAGAGCCAAGTTCTCACAGATGAGTAACGTTTGTCTTGGGCACTGCGTATTCACTGTAGTCTTGCTTCAGTGAAAGCCTTTTAGGAGCTGCATCCTAGAGTCCGAACATTCTTCAATGGGCATATCTTCAGCCATAAACTTAACAAGGAGGGAAGCTTACTATGAGGATTACCAAAAGATTCGCTCGTTTATATCTGCTAGCCTTAACCCTCAACCCCTAACAGTGACCAGCATCTACTTCTCCTTAGGTCATCTCCCGTGAATCGTACTTTAAGGTCACGAGAATAACGGATAAGATCTCCAACTGAAAAAGCTTTTGACTATTACATTGTACTTGTCAGTGCCTTAGAAGATATAAAGGGAACGCTGTGGCGAAAATGCCTACTGTTGTTAGAGCTTAAGGATGAATGATCAAGATTCATTTTAATCCGTGGCCGTACCCCCCCCCCCACGCCTAAGTTTCACTTTGGGGAGGGGGAGGGTATGGCGACACGTAGGCTATTTAATCCGTCACTGTGTGCTTATCAACTTCACTCTAGTGCTGTGTTTCATATTGTTTTTGTCTCTTTTTTTTTTTCTCTTCTTTTCGCCAACTGATTAATTTTATTTCCGCAAAATATACAAATCATTGCCTTCGCTTTCTTATCATCAAACTCATGCTTGGGTCAGGAAACGTTTTCTTCATCAGTGTCAGCGAGGCTGAAAGAATCAGATGAAAAGAATACATTACTGGCGGCTTCCAGTTTTATTCATCAACTAATAATTTACTTATTTATTAGTCTTAGTAAATACTAGGTTCTTGTGCACATGTAAATAGTTATGCAGAGAGCGGATGGAATTGATTACGAAACATTTCTGCTTTTAAAAATGCTCGACTTCCTCTCTGTGTTCGGAGGGGTTTGCTTTTCACTCGGCATGTATTATTTAAAAAAAAAAAAGAACTTACAGATCTTTCCAGAAGGCAAAGTTGGGTGTCGAAGGACAAAATCTGCAAAAAAGCAAGTTTCCTAATTCAATTTTTTTCAGATTGAGAATTATGTAATGCACCAAGTTAAAGCCCATATTTTTCTTAAGGTTTATACAAGTATCTTTTTTAGGCGGAAATTAGTCGCCAAAATTGGTTTCAATTAATTTACTCATTTTCCTTTGATTCACCTATCAGGTTTCGCATGCAAATGATGACATATGTTGTCATTTTCATTTTCAAGACGAAGCATTGTTTAACTACTGACACCCGAACAAAAATTTCTTGGCAGGATCGTTCAAAAATTAGGATAGCCTAAAACGTAGAAGAGAAATACCAACTCTTAAAGAATGGTCAGAATTTTATTTCCAGCAACTCGAAAACATTTGTAACTAAATTGTAATTTACGGTCCAATTCATTTGTAATTTTAGCTTCTATCAAGAAAAAAATCACTTCTTTTTTTAACAGTTTGGTCAAATCTCGCTAATTTTAATCAAGATAGAGGAAATTAAATTTTCGATTTTGAAAATTGGCTTAAGATGTCCTGCAGCTCAATGTACGCTAGACATAAAAAACTTTCACGCTAAACGTCTCCGTGATTTCATCGAGATTTTTCTTATTTATTAAGTTATTGCTATATTTGCAAATGGGAAGACTTATCCACATTTTCCGTGTCGTTCATTCACATGATCTGAACACACCAACAAGCTAATTACAATGCACCTTTAAAACTTAAGACCCGTCTCTATGCCGTCTATTTGAAGGAAAATTCCTATCGAAAAAGCTCCCAATAAAATAACAAGCTCTAATGACCCACCAAGAAATGAAAGATGCAAGCAGTTAGGTAATGCAGTGTCTTATGTTATCGCCACCTACCTTCTGAAGTTCTTGCGAGCTAACGTTGAAATTCATCCAACCTGTATCTGTGCGTTTCAGTTTATCTGATTCCCGAGGAGTTTTGTCAAGTATGATGCAGTTCCATTTCTTATCAGTCCTCTCTAGCAGATTAAAAGAAGCACATCTTGTTGTTCGCAAGCAGATGTCAAGGCATGCCATTTTTGAAACTACAAACTGTTTTGAGAGCCGGTGCTGACCAATGTCTGACCTTCCGGGAATTTGACGAGTCCGCAAGATATTCTCAAAGTTATCGTAAGAATTCCAGCATGATCCTCCGGTTACAAAAAAAATAAGAAAACAGAAAAAAATTCTTAGTAAACTTTCTCTAATCATTATCAACGCTGTGTCCATCAAGGATCTGTTCAAATGTTGAAGTCGTGGAAGTGGTTTTGACACCCTGTCAAAGACTGTGCTAAAGTGAAAACAGTTTTATCAACCTGGGTGTCTCGCTTTAATTTTGTTTTATACTTTTTAGACAATTGGTCATTTCTTTTGACAGAAAAATTAAAAGAAATTATTAAGGGACGTAATTTTACTGTAAATAATTTAACAAAGTGGAGGAAAATATCCACCATTATCCTTGACACTGAGGTAGATAAATGCTTTAGTATATACCACACACACACACACACAAAAAGTTAATTTTTGTCGATTTACCTAAAAATAGTCGGAAAATAAACTCTTGACGGGTGAGTTTGTCTCTGGCCACTTGGAGCGAGGTGAATAGGTGAGTTATCACTTCCGAACCAGCCCATCGGCGCGCACTAAAAGCACAGTATTCACCTGTGCGGTGTGCGTGAAGTGCTTTTAGGCTGGATCTCGTTTTGATCACTTGCGATCAACCAATTGCGATTGGTTTTCGTGTTATGGCGGTACTCTTGTCTGGCTAAAATTTATAACTTTGTTGCTGAATTTTGTGTTAGCAGTAACCATTTGTTAATTTATTAAGTGGCTAATGGTATAGTGTTTAATGATCTAAACTCTCCGTTTCTTTTCTTTGTTTTTAAAGTGCTATAGCCAATAGACATGGGGTTCGTCAGTCTTTCCGTCGACAACAGGAACCTTTCACCGCCGATATTTTCATGTTTGGGTTTCGATCACCTAACGTTACAGTCGGCTATTAAACCATAAACTGACAGAATTGTTTACCGCCAGAATTGCTTTATGTTTAAGGAAATATGATCGCATTTCCGAGGGTAGCAGATCTCTTAAATGGCTGAATGTTTCCGAAAAGTTTTTATTTAAGGATTTAGTCTTAGTTTTTAAATGTTTGAATGGCTTAGTACGTATCAGGTTATCTTTCGAATAACTTTACAAAACGGTCGGCGATTCATAGCAGAAACAGGAGAAGATTCAAAGACTTGAGCTCTCCACGCTGCCGCTTGTCACGTGACAGGACAACGGAGCTTCTATTTTTGGGCTGCTAAGCAATGGAATAGCCTTTTAAAGGATCTTCAGGGTATTAGGAATATAAAAAACTTCAAGAAAATACTATTTAACATTATATTTAATGAATGGAATAGGCATCATTGGCTTTTTGTCTTTTTATTATTATTATAAATTATGATTGTTAAACTGTAGAGATAGTTAGTTGTGTCTGAAAAGCCCTGTTAAGGGAGACCCAATTAAGTTTATGTATATATGTATGTATAAGCAGCCGCTAATGGAGAAAATTATTAAAACCCCTGAATAAAGGCTTTTAGAAATGGTTGCAACTGCTTCAGCGTATTTTGATAATGTTGGAGAGAGAATTTTCTTTCCACAGCCAGCTGTGTCATTATGGCTTGCTCAACCAAGACTCAACATCAGTCAGTAAGAAGTCATCTTCGTCGGTGAGGGCGTCAGCTGTTGGAGATAAATGAATGAAGAAAAGAAATTACCCTTCGGCGCCAAGTTTTGAGTTAAAATACTAACTGCAGCAGAAGTTGATAATTACCGCATTCACTCGACAATCAAGTGCCTCAGCTTTTATTATTTCCTTTTGTGACAAAGATGCAACATTCATTCAGGCTTAACTTAATTAAGACGGCGCTCATTTTAAGAATCCTCTCTTCTCTATCTTCTTTATAATTTATGGAGCACATATTAAACCACTATACTGAATGAGGCTACTAGGACGTAGAGTGAGGGTGGTCTCACTGCTCTTACATTCAGTGTCTTTGTCCGTGCATTCAAATAATGATCTAGCCAAAAAATCGTACAAACTTACGGATCTCAGTAGCGAAGCAGGAATGAGTATTTGAAGACAAAATCTGTTTAAAAAAAGGTATGTGTAAATTAGCTTTTTACGAGAAAAAGGAAAACGTAGCAGAGATTTCCCTTAAGCCTAGGGGATACAATAACTGAGGTTGTGAAGCAATCAGCAGAGCTGAGAAACGTCTGGATTATCACAAACGTTTGCGGGCTCACGTGTGAAAACCATAGCAGTACCGGCATAGTAAAATTTCAAAATTTTTGAAAATCCAAAAGCTAGAGGTGTTGTTGTTGTTGTTTTTTTTTTTAAGGGTAAGACGTAGGCATCAATATCCTTTGAATACTTGACACATTTTCTCGTAAACTGTTGTATGTCGATCGCGAGGATGCATTTTGTGTAAGTTGTGCTTCAGTTA